CTTTTTGTTGTTTTGGGGAGTTGGTGAATGGGGTCCCAGGTCCCAAAGGTGAGGCTGGTCTTGAACTGCTCACCCTCCTGCCACAACCTTGATTGCTGAGGTTTAAGAAGTGAGATAGTATGCCCAGCTGTTTTATATTTTTAACAAGATTTAAGCAACCACAGGAAAGAAAGTACAACTAACAAGTGTTTGAGACTCACACTGAGAGTGGCTGCTGGGCCTTACTGAATGTTTCCTAAAGTAAATAGGTTGTGGTTGGAGACTTTAGTGAAGGCACAAAATTAGACAGAATCAAAGAAGGCCACAGAGTGGATGGAGAGGTGGCTTGGTGGTTAAAAGCCCTTGCTACTCTTGCAGAAGCTCCAGATTCTGAGATCAGTTTCCAGCACCCAAATCAGGCAACTCACAACTGCCTGTATTTTCAGCTCCTTGGGAATCTGATGCCCTCTTCTGGTTTCTATGGAAACTGCATGCACATGGTGCGCTTACACTGTAGGCAAAACAAGTCATACACATAAAATAAAAAATAAACTTTTTTTAAAAAAGGAAAGGGAGAAAAGGAAGAATGCCACAGAATCCACACAACTAAAGTACCTCCCCATTTGGCTTTTATTAGTTTGTTGATCTGGGGTCTTGGTCTCTCTGTGTAGCCCAGGCTGGCCTCAAATTCTTGACCTTCCTACCCCAGCCTCCCAAGTGCTAGAATTACAGGCCTCTACCACCATACCTGCCTCACATTTTTTTTTTATGGGTTAGAAAAGTGGTTGCAGACTACATTTCCAAGAAGGCCGATGCCTTCTGCTCCTCCCCAGAATATACAGGGTGCTTCTTTCAGTTTTATTTTATTTTTTTGAACCACAATTGAATTTTGCTGAAATGCCATTAGAGATCACAGTTCTCAATAAGCAGGGAGTTGGTACAGCATGCTGCTTGCAAATTCTGGAACCTTCTTAGTTCAGGATATATGTCACTCAATGAGTCTGTCTTATTAAAAACAGCCTTAGCAGCTTTGCTTCACAAAAATGCAGAGCTAACATTTTTTTTAAGGGCCCACTGGAGCTGCAGCAGATGTACAGCAGGCTGCTAGGAATTCAGTGCTGGCGTGAGTTCTGCACATGGGGAGCTAAGAGGAAAAGGTGGATTTTGCTGAAGACAATGGCTTTCTGGTTTTAAAAATAGCTGGAGAATGTCTGTACATTTGGCTCTTCCTCTAGCTGGAAAGGTGTGAATAACTGGTGTCACTTGGCGGTGATGAAATAGAAGGCTCATTGTCTGTTGTTTGAGAGTATCACTTGGTATCTCAGGCTGACCCAGAACTTACTATATAGCCCAGGCTGGCCTCAGACTTAGGGCAGTCCTCTTGCCTCAGCCTCACAAGGGCTGGCATTGCAGGTGTAAGCTGCCACACCCAGTTCTCATCATTACAGATGTGTCCAGGCTTTCAGTGTTTTCCGTCACCCACCTCCCAGTTAGGATCTGCTCCACTTCCTAATGAGTAATTAGAAGACATCTTGGAGCTCTAATGAAGCGAATTAGTTCTAAAATGACACTTTCTCTAGCATGTTATGTGATGTCTTTGAGTTTCAGTGGAGTGAGCCAGACTTCTTTCTGATAAATGTTTACTAAAACAAAAGCCTACACTACATAATTGACTTCAGGGATCACTCTCCTAAAGTACCTGGGATCAGTAATTGTGAAAGTCAGGACATTGCACAGCCAAAAGAGAAGTCTGCATTTGACAGGCAAAGATCCTGTATCTTGCAATGCCTCCAGAGTCCCTTTATCCATGTTAGCATTTTAATATGTGTCCAGAATTTAAAGAGGAAATACAGAATATGAATTTTGTGCTATTTTTATTTGAAGAAACAACATCAAATAGTGAACTGTTATAAAGTGTTGTGGAATGGGCAATGGCAGGTGCACCCTCCAGCTTGGGCTGATTCTCCTTTTATTTCACGTAGTGGCCATGCATATCCAGATCAGTAGACTGATGAGCTCCATATGCAAGACAGCAAACTAGTTAAAAGTCAGTCAGAGATGGGTGTGACTGCCACTCTATGTGGGAACTACTAAAGAGACTCACTGTGGTCCAGAGGGTACCAGTTAAGATATTTAAAAATTGGAAAATAGCCTCTAGCGACCATTAGCAGTAAGGTTGGAGAGATGACTTAGGTGGGAAACAAGGCAGATGCCCTGAGGGTGAAGGGTAACTGTTATCTGACTTCATAGAAGGGGGGATCGTAGAATCTCCATTTCTGGAAATGTTTTTAAACAGCACAGATCTCTTGGGAGCAGTGTTGAAGTTCAGTCCTGCCCAGAGGCGGAAAGATTTGCTGAATTATGCCTGTGTGATCTTGGGAGTCATTGAGAACCCTCGAAGGCAGGAAAGATTCTTTACTTTGCTGGCTGAAACTATTGTTTCATAGCTATTCATTTGAAAGTGGTTTTTTTTTTTTTGTGGGCATATCAGTATCAAATTTGTATCTGCAGTCAACGGTTTAAGTTATGTGTATTATACAATCTGAATCTGTGCGTAGTGATGACACTGTTGTAAGCATGAGTTAGTCTTTTATGTTTGTTTAATTTGTGTGTATGTTTGAGAGAGGAAATGGAAAAGAGAGAAAGGGGAAGGAGGAGGAGATTGAATATATGTATGTGAGTTGTGACATATCACTCTCCCTTATTCCTTTGAGACGGTCTTTCACTGAGCCTGGAGCTAGGCTTGTAGCCCCAGAAAGCCTCCTGACTCTGCACCCCTCCTCCATTGCTGGGGTTCTGGACCCCATGTGACCACACCCAACTTTTTACATGGGTTCTGGAAATTTGAACTCAGCTCTTCATGCTTTGAAAGTGAACGCCCTATCTACTGAGCCCCCGCTCCAGCCCATCTGTCTTTTACTATACAAAAAGTTACCTGCTTCCTTGCAAAGTTTCAGTGCCACTAATCATCTGATAAATAATTCCAAAGCAATGAATATAAATATTGCAGGCTTCAAAGATGAATTAGATCTGGTTCCTGCCTTCAGGGAACTTCACGTACACGTGGAGCTAAACCATTCCCAGATCTTCCACCCAGATCTTATGCCTGCCAGGGTGGCTAGGGATTCGACCCAACAAATTTGTTAATGAGAGTGGCATGTCCCTATATGAAAAGTTTGGGCAAGCCTGTGTTATGAGTAATAGAGGAAAATGGGAGAGGAGCAGAGAAAATGATTAAGCAGTGTTGTGAGATTTCAGAGAAGGAGAAAAAAAATCTATCCTTTGGTTGTAACCCAACAGTGTTTTCTGGAAGAAAATGCATTGAGCTGCACCTTCAGTATGAAGCATTCTGAAGGGTGGGAGTGAAGAATAGGGTGGGCTTGTGACTCGTCATCATCCCAGGAGGACACACTCCACTGGGATGGGCGAGCAAGGGAAGTAGCTGTCAAGGAACTGGCGGTGTCCAGTCTGGTCTGCCAAGCCGAGTTTACTCATTGGGATTGTCCCTTCGTGTGTTGAAGCTGTGGAGGATCCCTGTGCGGGTGAAAAAAAAAGCCCTATTGTGCAGCTCCAGAGCCATCCCTGAGAGCTGTAACTTTGAAGCTAAAGCTGTTTGTTATGAGCATTCTCCAAAAGTGAATTCCAAGAATCAAGAAAGCCATGCAAAGGGGTCAAGACCATGCTGGGGAAACCCACAAACAGCTGACCTGAGCAAGTAGGAGCTGATGGACCTGACTCTGACAGCTGGGGAGCCAGCATAAGACCAAACCAGGCCCCCTTGAAAGTGGGTGTCAGTTGCGGGGCCTGGGCAGTCTATGGGGCTGCTGGCAGTGGAATCAGTATTTATCCCTAGTGCATGAATGGGCTTTGGGAGCCCATTCCCTATGGAGGGACACTCTCTCAGCCTAGATGGGGAGGGGGGTGACTAGGTCCTGCCCCAAATGATGTGATAGACTTTGGTGATCCCCGTGGGAGGCCTCACTGTCCCTGAGGGGTGGATGGGGATGGGATAGGGGGATGGTGGGGGGAATAGGAGGACAGAAAGGAGAAGGAACTGGGATTGGTATGCAAAATAAGAATGTTATTAATTTTAGAGGCAGGTGGATCTCTGTGAGTTCAAGGCCACCTGGTCTCCAGAGTGAGTGCCAGGATAGGCTCCAAAGCTACACAGAGAAACCCTGTCTCGAAAAACCAAAAAAAAAAAAAAAAAAAAAAAAAAAAGAATGTTATTAATTTTAAAAAATCAAGAAGGCCAGACATTTAAATGGTTCTTTATTGGGGGGGACTTCTGAAAGCTTTTTGCCCTGGGACTCAGAAACAGGTAGTCAATATGTGCACTTCTCAGTGTGATTTCATCTTCTTACCTGGACCATCCCTGGGAACTCATGTTTCTTGGAACACAGCCTGGGAGGTATGTTCTGTGCATTTGATGATAATGGCTAGAGGAGAGGTAGTGCATTTGTGTGGAAAGACAAGGTAGGAGTCTACACTTGGTAGCTGCATGGAGGGTTAGTGCCTGCAAGAGCAGATGGCTGAGTTACCAGCCATACTCAGCCAAGGATTGCATGCTGACACAGGGAGGAAAAAGGGAATCCCAGATTGTGAGGGGGGTGACCTTCACTGTGCTAGAGATGGTAGCACGGACAGCTAGGAGAAGGAACTAGTGTGAGTAGAAATCTACCTGTATAGTGTTATTTGAGAAGGTATGGCAGAGCCAATTTTAAGGTTTCCATGCACACCACTAGACTTCGAGGGGGAAAGGGGATTCTTATTAAATGTGTGTGTGTGTGTGTGTGTGTGTGTGTGTGTGTGTGTGTGGTTAATATGTCTGCCTGTTAGAATTCTGGATAAATAGCAGTTTCTATCTGAATCCATTACTGTAGGAAAGTTACACCTAAACCACTGCTATTTTATCCATCAGACATTAACAAGCCTCCTTTCATCTCCATTGAGTATTTCCCCAGCCTGATTTACCTCTCTGGAGCTAATTCTCAAGTTTAATATTTTGTTCTTTCATTTAGGTGTTTGCCTTTGATTATTGCTTTTGGTCCATGGATGAATCAAACACAACAAAATATGCTGGTAAGTTGGCTGTTTCGTTTGGGCCACTGGCCTCCTCCGTTATGTCTGGGTTCTCTAGTTATTCTGGAGTTTTGTTTTCCCACGTGTCTCACAGCCACTGTCTCGTTGTAGTGGGTGCGTTTGGAAAGTTGGTGATCTGGCTCAGCCACGTTCTGGCTAAGCAGGCTTAGACTAGGTTTGAAAACCTCAATAGAGGGGTGCATGCAATGGTGAGCACCGGTGATCCCAGGACTGAGGAGGCTGAAGCAAGAGGACTGCCCCCGAGTTCAAGGCCAGTGCAGGACTCAGCTGTACAGCTAGTATTAGGCTAGGCAGTGCTGTATAGCAAGACTCTGACTTCCCCCCATCCCTGCAACAAAAATTTCAAAACCTCATTAGTTGCTCCCCTCCTAAGGGTGTCATTATCCTCGGGATATTCCCAAGTCAAGCCTAAACTTTACAAGTTTTCACGGCTATAGAAAACCTGATTCAAGACAACATGGACGGACTACAGTTGCTCAGGGGGGATATCATAGAGATGGCACTGAAAGTGAGCAAGTATATAATTATATGTAAATAAAAATAAAAAATTAAAATATAGTTTTTCCCTTTATGAGTATTGAGGTTAGGTCACCTGATTTAGTCATTCCAAAATGTATACACATAGTAATATGTGTATGCAACACCATAAATACCAGTTTTACTTGTTAATTTAAAAAGGGGAGCGGTAATGAGGAATGCAGGAGAAGGTATCCAGAGTAGAAGTCAAGTCCAAGGACCGTGAGGTGAGAGCTGGGACCTGCTTTGGCCCCTTGGGATAAGAGCTTAATTTCTCTGCAAGTCATCCTGCTCCCTATAATGAAGGAATGGCAGCTCTATGCCATATGGGTGCTGGACCTGTTAACTGGGGACCATAAGTGTTGGCTGATGGAAGGTGACTGTAAACAATGCTCCATTTGGGCTTTTTGTAGGGAAGGGGCTGGGCATTGTGCTAGCAAAGGCCTAAGCAGCCAGTGCAATGGGGCAACGGTGGCAGGGAATTCGCAAAGCTAAGCTAGGAAGTAGAGACAAGCGGGGTGAGAAATTGAAGCTGTGGCGTGGGCTGCTTAAGACAATGTGAAGAGGAGTCAGTTTTCCTCCCTTCCGAGTCCCTCAGCACGTGTCTTCCATTACTGCCTGCGGATACCCCTGCAGCCTCCTGCAGTGTAGCACTCGGCCCACAAACTTTCTTTTCAGCCAAGTACAACTTCATTGGATCCAGATGAGAAAATATTTGTGGAATTTGGGATCTTATAAACACTAGGATCAGAATTATGAAAAAGATAAACATGATTTTTAATGTACCGAATGCCTGCCATTGATGCACTTTTGGTTCCATGATCACTTCAGATATGTTCCAGTTACCCTTGAAATAGGACAGCACATCTTTGCCATGCTGGAGTGAGGGGTAGATTTTTCTTATCCTGTAGATATCGTCAGTATTACACACCTACTATGACACTCTTAGCAAAAGGTAAGATTCGTGGTTGCTGTTCTCTCGGGTATTTGACTTATACAAAATCTGTGTCGAAAATACACGGCTTGTGGATGAGGTTGTTGGTTTCTGTACTAATTTGAGTTCTGTTTTCTTCACTTAAAAGAAACAGCAGTTCTTAACTGTGAATAGGAACATTAAGATGGAAGCATTCATTCTCTGGTGAGAATAAGGGACTTGAGGAGAGGGAAGCATAGATTTCCTGAAACCAACCTATTTGTCAGGCCCCATGAATAATGGCCTCATTGAGACTGGGTCGGGGCTCTCAAAGCAGCTCTCAAAAGTGGGGTCTGGCAGGCCGAGTGGGGGTTGGTAAATGCATGGACTGAGCAAGCCAAGGATGCCAGAGCCCTCAAGAGTCATGTGCTGTGTCAGAACATTAAATCCTCAATGAAGTTTTACTGTTTATTAGGAGCTATTGCAAGATGCTCTACCCTCTGGCTTTTCAACCTGAAATTCTAAGTTCTCTGGAAATGGTAATGGCACTTCAGGGCATGGGTAGAGTGCTTAAAGAATGTGAACTCTTACATCAGACTGTGGGGGTCTCATTCTCGGCCCCCATCTCGGTGCTTACTGTGTGTCTTACTGGATCCTTTTACCTAGTACTTGTCCGGAAAAACGTATCCTCATATGTCTCATTGTCTCACTGTGAGTGACAGTCACTAGCATCAGTATGTTGGCAAGAAAATGGCCTGGGCGGGGATTTATGGCACTTGGTTTTGCTTCAAGCCGCTAGGCTTCGGTGAGATAAAGATAACCTTTTTCTTCATCTGTGAACAGGATGAGGTAAATGAGGAGCTGCAGCCATGCCTCCCATAAAGCTGAATCATCCATTTTGTACGGGCAACACAGCTGTGGCGACTTCTCAGAGGCAAATCAAAGGCTGACTTGTTCAGCCATTTGCGATGCAGGAAAGTGTCTTTGGGGCATTGTGCGCTTGAAGTACGTCTTCCTCCTTTTAGCCTCTTGATGAGATCGGTATAGTAATGTTTGGTGGGTTTTTTTTAAGTCAGAAGCAAAAGTCTTTGTGGTAGGACTAAGTGAGAAAAAGGACAGACAAATAAATAGGCTGGAGACCCAAAACACGGCCTCTCTGCATAAACCTACCTCTTCTCCCAACCCCATCATGCAACCACACATAAATCTCATTAAAAGATTATAAAGTGGCTGTATTGGGATCAATAGTGATAAACTTGAGCCATCTTAGTAAATGATGACATCATGCTAATGGTAATTAAGACCTTCTTGATGAGGAATCAATACATTAAAAATGTCATTTCCTAAAGTGAGTCCTGTCAGTGGTTAAGTGATTTCCAATAGCTTTGTCGTTTATATCCTGCGTGCGTCTCTTTAAATCTTACTTCGGGTATGAAAAGCGGCCTGGGGGCTACAGAGATGGCTCGGGGGTTAAGAACCACTCGCTGCTCTTCCAGAGAACACGTGGTGTGCCTCACAATCTCCTGTGACTCCAGCTCCAGGGGATCTGATGTCCTCTTGTGGACTCTGCAGGCACCAGCACACATGTGGCATATACACAGACACATAACAAATAAAAATAAAACTATTATTTTTAAAGGAAAGAAAGAATAGCAGTCTGGTAGTGGTATATGTGGGGGTCAGTGTGGATAACACTTCTTACCTGGGAAATTCTGAACATGAACCTAGAAATTATGTAATCTTTCTTGCCATATGGCGTGTTTCTCAAATTTGCTGAGGCCATGTGTTCTTGGATATTTGTTGGTACTCCAAACCTAGAAGAAAAGATGTCCAGCTGAGTCCCACCTCTCCTCACTTTGTTCATGCTGTGCAAGGCTAGAAGAGCACCTTCATTATGAGGCCTGAGCTGCCGGCCGGTGGCCATGTTTGATTCTATTACCATCATGGGGGTGTGTGCACTCAGAGGTTGGGATGATTAATTTCACATTGCTTACGGGAAGCAGGGACAGTAAGACAACAGAGCCTATATGCACCAAAATTTATATTCTAGAACCAGTGTTTGCCAAATTAGAACCAAATTGTCAGCATAATAGTACAATACAAATTTGTCTTAACATATTTAGGCCTAAGTATTTGACCTTTGAAGTGTTCTCCTAGTAACTACCTGGAGAAAGCACAGGCTCTTGGCGTCGGGCTTCTTGGGCTCAGACAGTAGGCAGTCATCACGACTTCATTAATGTGAATCTGAGGATGAATTGAGACTTACAACAAGTTCTGTGCATCCGGAAAACCGCTGATAATTGTTAGCCATTGTGTAAAGCTGTAGACGTTCTTCGTGCAGTCATTGGGAGCACTAGTGGTTAGCTGTTTAAATATCTAGTGTTGTCCAAAGTCTAGAGCCCATGTTCTTGGTTGACTTTTGTTTGAACACTTCCCCCACAAGAGCTGTGAACACCATAGCCATGAGTTCTAGAAGCGACAGTAGGCCTGTGTCTGCTACCTTGTTGGAGAGAGCTGTTGTAAAATGCTTTGAGAGCCAAGGGACACTTCTTTGTCAGCAGGGGTTTGTGTGGAGTCAGGCTTCCTAGTCAAGCTAGCTTTGTTTTCTTTTTTCATCCTTGGCACTGGTACCCAGGTAGGAGTTTTCTTGTCCCCTCCCCTGTGAGTCAGCCACTTTATCCAGCAACAACAACAACCAAAAAAAAAAAAAAAAAAAAAAAAAAAAAAAAAAAAAAAAGGAGCCCAGCTTATGCTGAACCCTAGCTGTGTCCCCGATTGGAAACATTGTTGGGTAAGTCACTCCCTGCTATGGTACAAGTGACACTTCCCCAGACTGCAATGCTGATAGCACTTGGAAGCTACCGTGGAAAATGGCCTGTGGTTTACTTTTAGCTTGTGGCCCAGTTTCTCAAGTTCCCTTTACCAGGTCCCTTCCTGGTAAACTTCTGAAGTTGATTAAGAATTAATGTTTGCACCTCCAAGTTGAACCTTAAAGTCTTTGTTTCTTTATCTGAACTGTAGTTTGCGTTCATTTAACTTAAATATGGCCTGAAGTCTCTGAACGTGAGAAATTTTGTGAGCTGCACTCCACACACCAAAGGCCTTTGAGGAAGGAATTTGCTTCAACCTCATCCAAATAAGGCCTTTTTCTCCCTTGGAGGTGTGCAAGCAAGACCTGTCTATGCTTGTACCATCCAGGTGCCCTGATTTGGAGCTGGGCCCCTGCCAAGTCCAGACTCATCAAAATTACTGTGGCTGTCCGCCCTGTGTAAAGGGGAAAGCACCTTCATAAAGAACGAGGTCCAGGAATTGCTGCTTAAAAACATACAGCCAAGCTCCCCTGACTCCAACTCCAAAGAGAAAAGAAGGGGCTTGAGAAATGGATTAGATTTGGGGTTGTGTTTGTATTGGTTAGCTTCCATAGCTATAGGGAACCTGAGGCCCAGGCTTTGGAGGCTCCAGTTCATGACTGATTGGCCCCATTGCTTTGGCACTGAGAAAGGCCACATACAATGACAGAACTGTGAGGTGGAAGAAAACTCTTACCTCA